TGCAAACTATGCAACAACTGCATTTATAATGTTAACTGGATTTACGAAGTTATTATATATGGAAAAAAACCAGTTTTGTTTCTTGAAAAATGAAAATTTTCGGAAAAATTTATATTTAAAAATACAATTGGTTTCATAATGTCTGGTAAATCGTACGGGAAATAAAATAAAATCAAGAGTAAGGATTTAATTTTCACTTATATTCCAATTGTGATAAATCTTCTTATGGTACAAAATAAACTAGTGTCTCAAAACTTAGTCAGAACTTTGAAATATTGGTAGTCGAAAAAGTTTTTTCGTATTTTGTCAGTAGATGTCGTKACAGTCGTATATCTCCAGTGCTACCAGTCACATTGTGCCATAACATTTRGCGTTTTAAAGCGTGGTAAATTAAATTCGGAGAAGTTACAGCTGTCATGAGTAAAAAGAATAAAGAAATTCGCTTGAATTTTGAAATTTTTGTATAAAAAAGGGAAAAATGCCACGCAAACCACCAATGTATTTTGATGTTGTATCAGTTCGTGTGCAGCACAACAATGTTTCGCTCGCTTCCGTTCTGGAAATTTAGATGTGAAAGAAGCACYTCGCTCTGGTCGACCTACCTTTGAAAAAGCCGATGAAATTATGGAAAAGTTTGACCAGTAAAGTCACATAAGCAGTCATGACATCGCTAAGCAACTTAGCGTTTATCAGCAACGGTTTTGACCATACAAACAGAAACTACCAAAAAAAAAAAAAAAGATCGATATTTGGGTGCCACATGAATTGCCGGTGAAAAATTTAATAGACCGAATTAACATCTGCAATTGCGAATGGTAACAGGAGACAAGAGACAAAAAGTGGATCAAAGACGGCAATAAAGTGAGAAAAAGATCAKGGCCCAAGCGTGGTGAAGCTCAACAAATGCTGAGTGTTTGGCGGGATTGGAAAAGAATCATTCACTATGAGCTACTGCAGCATGGTCGAACGATTGATTCTACATTTTACTGTCAACAACTGATAAGACTGAAGCAAGCAATCGAAAAAACGGCCAGAACTGAWCAACGGAAATGGCTTCGTCTTTCATAATGAAAACGCTAGACCACACACAACTTTGATGACTCGGAAAAACTGGGAGAGCTTKGCTGCGAAGTTTTGAAGTATCCACCATATAGCTCTGACCTTGCATCATAAGAATACCATTTGTTTCGGTCAATGCGGCGCTCCCTTAATGAAGTAAAGTTGGCTCCTGTGAAAATTTGTTGCAGTTTTTTGACGAGAAACCAGAATACTTTGTCTCTACCGGAAAAATGGCAAAAAGTAGTCCATTAAAATGGTTGTGCTTCCTCAGAAACTAATTAAAGTCCAAAATGATAAAAAAAAATATTGAAAAAAAAATTGAATTTTTTTTTTTAACTTGGCAAGGTTCTGTGCGTGGTAAGTAGTAAGTGATAAGGTGAAAGAAATAAACATAAAGACTTCCGACTTACTTATTTATGTATTATGTTTTATACTTTTAGGCATCTTACTCAGTGATTTAATTTCTTGCAAAAATAAAGCTGAGGTCACAGTGAATCATAAAACAAAACAAGTTTCTTTACCCTTGTCACTACTTTTTAAGCAGTAATGGTATGCAGACACCATTATAATAAAAAAATCTATAAAGTATTCACTTATGTATATAACCTTCAGGGAACAACAATTGGTTTCTGTTTTTAGATCGGAAATACCTAACTTTACGCGCTGAATAAATAAACAGCAAAGAACAAATTTTTTTTTACTAAACAGTTGTACAAACCATGTGCGCTCAATAACGTAATAAAATATATTTTATACAAAAAAGAAAAAAAAAAAAAATTGTGTACCCTAAAGTTTCTGTATGGAAAAAGTTTTTATTTGAGAATGTATCCCGAAGAAATTTGGCATGAATTATTGCCTAGGGCAGTGGTATAATCTCCGAAAAAATTGTCTGCATCGGCTCACTATAGCGTATAGTTGCCATACTAAGTAAACGTTTGGAATCAAGTGGTTGTTGAAATTTGGTTTGCGTCATAGTCTAATTTGTGAAAAATTATATAGATGGGTTCACAACAACATATAACTGCCATACAAACTGCCCGAACAACATCATATTCTTTAAGGAAACTTTTTTTTTTTGTATTTGTGAAGTATATTATACATAGCTTCGTTACAGCCGAGGTTAACGTTTTCTCTTGTTTTCTTTTACTGAACCACATAAAAATTTTGTTAACTAGTGTAATATCGATATTTGGGTGAATAAAAACGTGTGAAATGCATTGGAAATATTTGTGGTTATTAAAATAATTGCGCGTGCCATGGAGGCGTGGGAATTGTCTGCTAATGCACGAGGAAAAAAAGATATGCAAAAGCATTTCTAGCTCCACAGAGCTGTCAGAGCTGTGGAAATACAAGGAATACAACAACAAATTCTGCCTGATGCCATTTGTTGGGATCTGCGCTGCTTTGGCGTCGGTGTTGGTGTGAATTGGCAAAACCGTAAATCGGTGAGCTGCCATTATTTCTATTACATTGAATTTCCACTGTAGTACGTCTAATTGTTGCTGTTGCTACAATAATACGGCTGTTGCATGTAGMATTAGCGTTGTAATGTTGCATGTGGCAGGCATTTGACGCTAGCTAGCGCGCGCGCATATCAATGGCCAGGCGCCTAAATGTTGCTGCCATTAATGCAATTTATTGTATTGGTTAGGCGATACCTGCAAGCGCTTTGTTAATTAGGTCTGAGTTGTTGGCAGCTTGCTGGCAGTGGCTGGCGGGTAGTCGGCGAAGTATGGGTGTGAACGTGCGTWCGCAATTATTGATAATTCGCGGCTGCCCAGCTATTCATTCATAAGCTATTATAACTGTGTGTATTGTATGCGCTTACTAGCTACTACAGCAACAGCAAGTGTAGTGAAAACAARCAATTACGCGTACTCACGCGCACCACAGAGCTCATTCATGCTCATTCGTATATATGTAAGTAAGGTGCGGTGTGTGCGTGTGTTAACAGGTGTATTAGCTTTAGATATTTGCTTATATCGTAAATAATGYCATTTGTGTATTCAATCGTTTCTAATTTTTAATTGAGGAATGAAATTGAATTTTGTTTTGTCATTTCTATTGAACTCTGTTTATTATGCAACAATTAGTTTATTTATTTTTAGGTATATGGTTTGTATAATTTGTTGTTGGTTGGTATTCATAACCATTGCAATTAAATTTCGTAATTGAATTTATCAAAAATAAATATATTTCTGTTGAAACGAGCTCTCAAAGTAAACATAGCACTTTCAATATTGACTTCTTAAGCTTGAAGAGAGTCTTTTTAATTGTTAAAGACCAATGACTTCAAATAATCCAAAAGCAGTTGTTCAATATTGTTAAATCACAGTTAAGTCACAATTGCTGGAAATACTCGAAACTCCAAACCTTTCTTGCAATAATTCAGTTGTTGCACGTGCTGGGTGTGGCACGTAGCTTCGTCTTCTTTGAACCAGATGCTGTCAAGATCAACTTCTTTCAATTGCGGCCATTAAAAGTTGATTATCATCGATTTATATTGCGCTCCATTGACAGTAGATGGTGTTACCAACTTCATTTCGAAAAAATTACGGACGGGTGATTCTACTAGATTTCGAAAGCCACACCAAATCGTTAAGTCTTTCCTGAATAATTTGTGGGTTTTCTTAGTACCAGAATCGGCGGTTTGGTTTATTTACCGCGCCACTCAGATGAAAGTGAGCCTTATCGAAGCAGATGATTTTCTTGAAAGTCGTTTTTAAGTTTTTCCAAAGCAAAACCAGTTAATGTACGACATTTACGGTGGTCCAATGGCTTTAGTTCTTGAGTAAGAACAATCTTATACGCATTCTAATAGAAATCCTTTCTCGAAATTATCTTTTAATCGACAAATTGTAGATTATATGAACATTATGTCAAGAAAACCGACGCTCGAAATTTTCACCAACTCGACGAATAGCGAGCACAGTTAAATTGCTTCGTCCATAAGATGGCAAAAGTTCACGATCAGAAGCATTTGAATTTTAAAAAGTGTCAACTTGTTTGAAAACCCGCTTGTTCGATTCACTACTCTCCTGAGCTTGACGAATCGAATAAAGCTAATTTTTCATATCCCGGGTACGAAAAATTTCTAAGAAACTCGTGAGGCCACCAGTTGAAGTAATTGTCGTGTGCCATAATCATACCGCATGCAATTTATTTATTTTTTTTTTTTAACCAGGAGAGGTGTGGATTGTTGCGCAAATTTTTAGCAAGGCTTTCTTCATTTATTAGTCCAACTTTTAAATTAAAAATTTTTTTTTCCAAATTAAATTTTAAAATCTTATACATATTGGATTAAAAATTAAATTAAAATTTGATTTTAAATTTTCAATTTTTATTTTGAATTAGGAATAAAAATTTGTAAAACTTGGAACGAACCATTGAAGGTTCAATGCAAAAGTTTTGAATGAAAAAATTCTCGATATTCTAAGAGCCCAAAAATCCATTAGTTAGTAACCAGTTTAAGGATTTAAAATTGTTTTTGAATATATATAATGAAAGTAATACTGATATTTTTTACCATCTTCGTGAAAAATTGATAGTAAAAACTATTTTTCGATGGCACACTGTAATTCCGATCTACTTCAAATGGACCTTAAAATCCACTACGTTAAAAAACTGCCGGAGCTACTAAAAAAAAATATAATTTTTATAATATTATAGAAAACTTTAGTAAACCCGTTGCCTTGATTACAAATTGCCTGTAGATCAGCGGTGGTGCGGGTTGAGTTTATTACTACACTGTGCGTGTTAATCATACGCCATGTCGCACATTAACATTTTTGGTATATTATATTACACATAAGGAACAAGGATTATAAAATAATTTAATTCATTATAGTTTGTGATTTATTTAATGAGCACTTTTCAACTAAATTATTTTGAATTCTTTTCTGATTCCTAAAGAAATCCTGTTGTTTAACTGCAGTACTTACCAGTAAGTACAATGCAGGATATTTGATTTTTGGTGATTCACACTTATCAGGCGTTTTGAAAACGGATGTTAGCACCAAATATTAATAATTTTTTTACAAATACTTCAAAACAATCATTAGGATCACGTTCCTTGTTCACTTCAAGGCATTTATGAAGAACACTTTCCGTTTAAAATCCCAACTCACGTGCGTACAAGTAGCCGATCTGTTCGCAGTTATGCACCTTGAAATCTAACAAGCTAAGTAGACTATCAGTTCACATTTATTTCATTTAAATAGTCTCTTATCCAGAATAGCAATTTGAAATTATCTCTAATTATTTGTTGTTGCAATAAAACTCTATCATTCAGTTAGATGAGATGAACCTGAAAGTGTTTCGCTGCAAAGGCCTGATAATTTACAGCTTTATGCATTATGTATAACTGCAAAAGTTATTGTTTATTTTTTCTATTGCCTACTGCTAGTTACTGCTCTTCTACTTGGGCAAATTTAAGGGCGTACGACTGGAAAATTTCCAAACATTTATTATTTGCTCATCTGCTGGGCAAATGCATGTGTGTGTGTGGACATTGTATTATGCTGTAAAGTGAAAACAGTTAATTTTCTCGATAAAGCGTTAACGGTAAATATTAACTGTACAAATTTACAAATACAATAAACCGAGTGTGCCGCCGCGCACTCAAAGCTTTGCAACTGTCGCATCTCGTGCATAAAATAACCGTGTAAAAAGACAAAAACAAACGAGTCACGTGTTTTTATGCAAAATCAACCGTTTGTTGAATGGAGATAACTAACCCATTTGATAATATTTAAACAGCTGTGTGTGTTCTAATACAACCTACAATTATTCAAATCTTTCCAATTTGTTGTTGTTGTTGTTGAGATCATGCTCCGGCCGCGTGCTACTTAGTATGGTTTCACACTTTCTGCTTTGTGCTCCGCAAACACACTAAGCAATTCTGCAGAATGCGTGTGTGTGTAATCGTCAATGGTGTGCTGTGCGACTCAAACCGTTAGACGGTCGGTTGGTCTTATCATGCAAGTTCATTCATTATTTTCGGAATGAGAAATACATTGACTGATTGTGAATCGCACTTTTTTCATTTCACGTGCCAGACAATGAGACAATTCGAAAAGTTGGGAGTGTATTAGCAAAGCCGCTGTGCGTGAAAGCTAATCAATTCGCTGGTGGCTACTTATCGGAACTTTAACTGTACTATTTTCCAGCGAAAGTGATGACAATAAATGTCAAGTAATGTCTTGAGAAAGTAATTTTTTATCTTAATTGTTTAGCTCAAATTATTAATTATTGCGCGAAAAGTGCTTATGATATACCTAAAGGTATTAGCAGCTAAACTGTATTAGTTAGTTAGTCGAAAGCCTATTTGTTCAAGAATTTTCACAACAGAGTTTATAAGATTTACAAGAATGTAGCGAGCATGTAGCGAGCATTGCACAAGAATTGAGCTGAATAACATATTGCAAAGAATTATAAAACTTATAAGAAATACAAGTGCATTATTGTACAATATTGTATCATTCGTGTAAACATTATAAACGCTGTTATAAAAATCTTTGAACAAATAGACTTTAGACAAGTATGATATATATATTATATATAGGTATGTATCAAGTGTACCGGTATGAGATGAGCGTTCAGTTACAACTGTGTTCGTAGGAAACATTTATTTTGAGCGAGCTTTAACTTTTTCCTGTTTGGCTGGCATGATTCACATTCAATAACCTTACAGTCATTGAACAAGCAACTAAATATTTTTCCATTTCGTTAAAAAAGTCCAATTTTGTACCGAAAGTTGGTGATTTGCAGAAAGCATTAAGTTTTTGTTTACAGTTGAAGAATGGTGCTGCGGAAGGCACTAATTTTTTGATTGCAGAGTTGCACTGAATACTTGTCGAGGCAGATGGTGATCATGCTCTATCAGAAGCAACAGGCACAAGTTGGGTTCAACAGTACAGAGATAATGATTTGGATGTGAGTAATGAAAAAAGCCGGAGGTTCACCAAATGGCTTGGCAAATTGGTGGCGTATGAATGGAATGAAAGATAGATGGGAAACCAAATGAAGACCAATTTCGTTTCAAATACACGGAATAAAATCAGTTTTACTACGAATTGTCACTGGCGATGAAAATGGATTAATTTTAAGAATCCTAAACTTAGGAAGTGTTAATCCGGAACAACAATCAGCAAAAACAAATCGATTAAGTAAGAACGAATGC